ACCTGCGGGCTCAGGCAGTCCACTCACCTCAGCCTCCCAAAGGCACGGGATTACAGGCTGAGTCACAGCCCGGCTCTGCACTGCTTTCTTACTTAAGTCAGACGCATTCTATAAGTAAGCTCTCCTCACTAATGACAGAGATGATCACCAGTTACTCTAGGTTGCATGTCCTACTGGCTGTGTAACTCCAGGAGGAAAAGCTTCCCTGAAAGCTCCAGTGCAAGGCCCAGGTATCACTCTCTTTGCATGGGATTGGGTCACATGTCCACCAGGAACCAGGGTACGTTTACTAAAGGGAAACAGCGGTGCCATTTATAGAAAAATGGCATGCAAGGTAGGCAAAACAGGTGTCTACTATACCCTGGTTGCTGGGAATCTCCCAGTTAAAGCAGTATTTATTTATTTATTTATGAGTTGGAGTCTCACTCTGTCACCCAGACTGGAGTGCAGTGGCCGCTCCCGGCCACTGCAGCCTCGACCTGCTGGGCCCTGGCGATCCTTCCAGCCTTCCAAGTAGCTGGAACTACAGGCGTGCACTACCATGCCCAGATAATTTTTTATTTTATTGTAGAGATGAGGTCTCACCAAGTTGCCCAGGTGGGTCTTGAACCCGCGGCCTCAGGTCAGCCTCCCAAATCGCGGGATTACAGGCTGAGCCACTGAGCCCGGCTAAAGCAATATTTAAACACACCAAACATTTCATTGATTTGTTATGTGTAAGAAATTGTGCTTGGTGCTATGTTGGATGCATAAATGAATTTGAGTACTTTCAGGGAATTTCTTTTTTTTTTTTGAGTTGGAGTCTCACTCTGTTGTCTGGACTGGAGTGCATTGGCTGCTTCTGGCCCCTGCAACCTCAACCTGCTGGGCTCCGGCGATCCTTCCGCCTCAGCTTTCCAAGTAGCCGGAATTACAGGCATGCGCTACCACGCCCGGCTGGTTTTTTATTTATTGTAGAGATGAGGTCTCGCTGCCGAGGCGGGTCTCAAACCCGAGGACTCAGACAATCTAATCACCTCAGCCTCCCAAAGGCGCGGGATTATAGGTTGAGCCACCGAGCCCGGCTGAATTTTTTTTTTTTTAAGTTAGAGTCTTACTCTGTTGCCCAGGCTGGAGTGCGGTGGCACACTCATGGCCACTATAGCCTCGACCTGCTAGGTTCAAGTGATCCTTCTGCCTCAGTCTTCCAAGTCGCTGGGATTAAAGGCGTGTGTCCCCACACCCGGCTAGTTTTATTTTTTAATTGTAGATACAGGGTCTTGCCATGTTGCCCAGGCTGGTCTTGAACTCCTGAGTTGAGGCAGTCCTTTCACCTCCGTCTCCCAAAGTGCTGGGATTATAGGCGTGAGCCACTATGCCTGACCTTTTTTTTTTTTGAGTTGGAGTCTCACTCTGTCACCCAGATTGGAGTGCAGTGGCCGCTCCCCGCCACTGCAGCGTCGACCTGCTGGTCGACCTGCTGGCCTCCGGCGATCTTTCTGCCTCAGCCTTCCAAGTAGCTGGAACGACAGGCGTGTACTACCACGCCCAACTAATTTTTTATTTTATTGTAGAGATGAGGTCTCACCAAGTTGCCTAGGCGGGTCTCGAACCTGCGGGCTCAGGCAATCCACTCACCTCGGCCTCCCAAAGTGCTGGGATTACAGGCTGAGCCACCAAACCCGGCTTTTTATTTTTATTTTTAAGTCGAAGTTTCACGCTGTCACCCAGGCTGGAATATAGTGGCACAATCATAGCTACTGCAGCCTTGACCACCTCAGCCTTCCAAGTAGCTGCAACTGTAGGTAGACGCCATCATGCCTGGCTAATTTTTTAATTTTTTAATTTTTTTTTTTTTTTTGAGTTGGAGTTTCACTCAGTCGCCCAGACTGGAGTGCAGTGGCATGCTGCCGGCCATCGCAGCCTTGACCTGCTGGGCTCCGGCAATCCTTCCGCCTCAGCCTTCCAGGTAGCTGGA